CCTAAACCCCTAAACCCCACACCCCATTGTACGGAGAACCCTCATCCGGCTGTGTACAACTGCAACACTACAGGCGACTTGCTAACTCACAGGGTTGAAGGAGGAAGGGTTCCGGAATGGATTTAACTGCCCTTCCCGGACTCAGGTCTTAGTGAATCGGGTTAAATTCTTGGCTTCGTGGGTCCTGAAGACTGTGCCGTTATAGTAACCTTCTGACTTACTTCCTCGAAAGGAGAAGTTTAGACTTTCAGGAGCTTTTGTATATATGGTCTTTGATTTTGTGCGTTGACCTTCTTTGGGGCCTAGTTCTTGAAGAACGCGGTTAACGTAGGATCCGATTCAGCAACCAGTATTGGTGTGCAGCTTGGGACCGTGAATGTGCCCTGCCTGGCCCTGTGCCGTCCCACACTACACTCCCCTGTGCTGTGCCCTGCTGAAAAATCGCTTGGATGAGACATGCTAACCCGTTTATATCGTCTTTTTCGAGGTTAGTTTCCGTATATCCTGGCTTTTGAAGCTGCATAAGCCTGTGCTGGCCCGCCTACAGGAAGCCTTCCAAAAATCCAGGGGCTTAGGGTGTTCGGGTTTAGGGTTTAGGGTTTATCGAGGGTTTCCAAAGCCTCCACCAACAAAGTCGCCCAAATGCTCTGGGCCATGAAGCGGCACTGCACAGGCCACGAACTATTTCATCATCGTCTCCATCTCCTCTTTGGCTGTTGTCCTCTGCTTCCTGCTGCCACGGCCACTCACATCAACTGCCCAGGCGAGGCTGCGAGATATCTAGTGCTCCTAGCCTAAACTCTACCTTGACACCCAAAATAACCTACCTTTTCAAGGATTTGCAAAGGGAAATGATAAGAAGGATCCCTAAGAAAGGTAGGTTCTACAGTCTACAGGGTCCTGCTAAACTTTGTACCAACTTTCATGAGCCTTGCGAATCCGAATAGACGGCTGTTGTTTGGGTTGAGGATATACGGAATCCAGTGCCGGGCGGGAGCTTCCTGCGGTGCACACTGTCCAATGGGCTGCACTGCCTCTTAGGGCTTTAGGGTTTTGGGGTTTAGGGTTCAGGGCTTTGGGTTTTGGGGTTTAGGGTTTAGGGTTTAGGGTTTATAAGGGTTTAGGGTTTAGGGCTTTGGGGTTTAGGGCTTTAGGGCTCAGGGGTTTTAGGGGTTGGGGGTTTAGAGGCCAAAGGTTGTATGTACTTCTTCACAGCTTCTAGCTGACGCTCTAAACCCTGCACTAAACCCTGAACCCTCATCCTACTTCCCAACCCTCGCCGAAATCGGCACCAGGAACACAAAGCCCAAAGCCTCAATCCTCAACCAAACGCATCAGAGTGACCCTTCCAGGAAGCCTTCAAGGAACCCCAAACCCTGAACCTTAAGCCGCAAACCCTGAACCCTGAACCCCTAAACCCCTAAACCCCTAAACCCCTAAACCTTGAACCATGACCCCTAAACCTCTAAGACGGTGCTTCGTACCGGTGGTCTAAAGGTCGGGCGGGTTCTGTATGGGTCTCATAAAGGGCTTCCCACAAAGGTTCTGTAAGGGCTTGCCAGGGTTTTTTCAACCCTAAACCCTAAACCCTAAGCCGTGGGTTGCTTTAGCGCTTGCTCTGGTATCCCAGGACTGTCTGGCTGAGAAGTTCGCTGCTTTTTTCGAAGCCTTTTAGGGTTTTTAGGGTTTGGGGTGTTAGGGTTTTAGGGTTGAGGGTTTAGGGTTGAGGGTTTAGGGTTTATGGTTGCAGGGTTTAGGGTCGGGGTTTAGGGGTTTAGGGTTTGGGTTAGGGTTGAGGGATAAGCTTAAATTCTCAGTAAGGGAAGCCGATCTTGAACCGCTGATCTCTTCCGAATCCCAGTGTGGCCCGAAGAGCGAATGCCTCGACCTTCAAAAGGGGTCCCTAAACCCTAAACTCTAAAAACACACTAAACCCTAACAAAAGCCATAAACCCTACACCCTAGAAGCACCATAAACCCTTAACGGTTCATAAGGATTTATAAGGGGCCTTAATACCGGAGAGCCCCACTCCGCAAACTCGAAACGTAACTTCCAAAATCATGTAGGAGGTTTCGGGCTTGAGGGCTTTAGGGTTTAGGGTAAATCCCAACCCTAGACCCATGGACCCCAAACCCTAGACCCTAAACCCGAAACCCTAGACCCTAAGCCCTAAACCCAAAATCCCCAAGCCCCTCACCCCGAAGCCTCAAACTCCAAAGCTCTCCACGTTAACAATGAGCCTAAATGATTACCAACATTATTCCTTAGGGTTCCTTATAGTATATGTATACTATAATGGCTTACGAAACCCTATTCTAATTATTAAAGGCCCCTACGTTAACCCCGTCACTGCAGCGCAAAGCCGCACTCTGCCGAAGCGACGCCAGGCTCGGAGCATTCTACTGGAGACTGGGCCCCTTGGGATGATTCTATTGGGATTTTAGGATTAGGAGTTCAGTTTAAGATGTGTGTTATATATATATATATATGTATATATACGAGAGAGAGAGAGAGAGAGAGTGAAAGTTGTGGATTTGATGTGCCATTTAGTGCTCAGGTTTGGGGTCTAGGATTTGCGGTTTCGGTTTGGGCTTTGGGGTTTAGGGTTTAGGGTTTTGGGTTTTGGGGTGCAGGATTTCAGGTCGTTGCGATTTCGAGATCCGGGCGCAGGTCTTTGCGTCGGGCATCCTCTCAGGCTTTAGGGTTGTGAGGTCCTGCATATAATATAGGGGCCTTAATAATTAAGATAGGGTTTTGGGGCCCATTATACTATATTTATATCAAGGAACCCCCAAAAGAATATGGGTAATTCTTTAGCCGGCCCCTATAGTACACTACACGGGGTATAAGGTCTGGTTCATGTCTTTAGGGTCTAGGGGTTTAGGGTTTAGGGTCCAGCCTCAAACCAGCAAGAGTCTTAACACCGAAACCCTAAACTCCTAAAACCCCTAAACCCCTAAACACCAATAGAATCTCCACAGCCCGCTCAGGGCTGCCGTGGCCATGATCTTGGAGTCCCTGCCGCTGACCTCCTCCGAGCTCTGTCGCAGCAAGGCCCAGGCAGCCATGGGGGAGATGAGCCTTCTCATCAAGGCCCGCCCATACTGGGGTTTAGGGTTTAGGGTTTAGGGTTTAGGGTTTAGGGTTTAGGATTCCCGCCCATACTGCTGATGATACTAATCCTGCATTACCCATAAAGAGGAATAGACCATACTTCCCATAGTTTAGGGTCCTTCAGGTAATGCAGGATTTATATCATCAACCCGTAGCGTTTTTTTCGGTTCACGGTTTCAGGGTTTAGGGCTCAGGGACCTTCAGGGCACTTCTGGGGCTCTCAGAAGGATTCCTAATGTAGGGGCCTACATAACTACCTATACTGTTTTGGGTGTTTTTTAGTATGATGGGCCCCAAAACCCTACTGTAATTCTTAAGGGCCCCAGATTACCAAGTTGTCATCCTCATGGGCTCTTTTAAATGGATTCAATTGGGAGTTTGAGTTTCGGGTTTTGGGTTTTAGGGTTTAGGGTTTTAGGGTTTAGGGTTTTAGGGTTTAGGGTTTTAGGGTTTAGGGTTTTGCAGTTTAGGGTTTTGGGGTTTAGGGTTTTGGGGTTTAGGGTTTAGGGTTTAGGGGTCTCGGGTTTAGGGTTTTGGTGGCCCAGGTCACCCAGTCCCAGGTCTCTCGACACGGTAGAGAGAATTCCCAAGCCCTAGAGCCCTATAGAGCCTGGCCATCCTGAAACCCTAAAGCCCTGAACCCTAAACACTAAACCACTAGAAACACCCTAAAACCCGTACATCCTGAAACCCTGAAGCCCCAAGCCCTAAAGACTAAAACTCTAGCCGCATCCCGGAGCAACTGTGTCTGACGTGTAGGAACCGCAGATCTAAGGTCTCACGGCGCACCTGCTGTCACTCGACAAATACGGCTGGGCTTTTAAAACCCTATTCAAACGATTAAGGCCCCTGCATTACTGTAGTTCTGATTTGTAGCCAATCCTGTGCGTGAAAAAGGATAATCCCACAAAGGCAACAGTATACAATACCCAAGACCTTGTTGTTGCATTTTCATAAAGTAAAATATACGATACCCCAGACCTAGTTAACATATGAAAGTAGAAGTATAATTGTATACAATATCCCAAGACCCATTTCTGATGATTAAGGCGCCAAACCCTCAGTTCCGTGCGTCCAGGATCTAGACTTCCACCTGGGTCACATGTGGTTCGAGGACCCTGGCTGAGGGCGTTGGGTTTAAGTTTTATAGGGTTTAGAATAATTTATCCTAAGCCCAAAACCCTAACCCTAAACCCTGTCTAAGTCTAGGTTTCGCATACAAGGTAAGGTGTGCATTATAGGGTTTATCTGGATTAAGATAGATGATCGAATAGGTTTTGATAGGGTTTCTATAGGGTTCATGTAGGGCATAAGCAGGCTTATATTGTTCGACGTTAATGTTAGGGCCAGGCTTCGTGGTTCCCTGATCATCTCGGAAAGGATTAGGCTGAGGGGCGGGTTCATATACGGGTCTCTCGGGGTCTAGCCTTCGTGTGGGCTGTCAGGATATCTGACTATACCTTGAGCTACCATAACCTAAACCTTATTTTAGAATTTATAGGGGCCCTGCACCCTGAAGGTTTTGTGGCAGGGTTTTTGGGCTTTGTACCATACTGCCTGAAACCCTTAACCCCAACGCCTAAGCCATGATTCCCCAAAACCCAGAAAGGGCTGGCATCTGAAGTGCAGCATGCGAGTCAGCAAGCCCTGAAACCTGCATGTTTGTGCTTGCCTTTTTGTTCCCACCCTTAGGGTTTAGGGCTTATGGCTGCTTGATTGCAGTGCCCCATGTCTCGGGATTGAGGAACCGTTTCGCCGTGGGTAGCAGGCCCTGCCCAGCCCTGAGGCCAAAAAACCCAAACGAGCGCCCTGATACTACCCCGAACCCTATATCTTAAACCCGCCGGAATGCATGACAGCATATTATAAGGCCCCAAAACTACCTGATAATTGAAGCCCGCACCCTCAAACCCCAAACCCTAAAACCCTTAGCCCTCTACATCCTACCCTATCCTACCCTAAACCCCAAATCATAAAGCCCTAAACCCTAAAACCCCAACAGCGGGGAGCGCAGTTGAGGACTTTAGCATCCTCCGGAAGCGGGCGCGCTACCGGCGCTGGCTGCAAGCCTTCTCCGAGATCTTGCAGCGCGCCGGAGTTAGGGGGGCCCAAACGGCCTTTCGTTTAGGGTTGGGTTTAGGGGGGTTTAGGGGTCTAAAGCCTAAGCCCTAAACCCAAAACCCTAAACCCTAAACCCTAAAACCCCAAACCAAAACCCTAATCTCGACGCCCGACACTGTCACACCCCGAGGGCTCGGGGTCTCACAGCCAGATTTGCGTTGGCGCCTGAAGAGGGGTTGAAATATTAGGGGACCAGCTTAGCTTGGGACTTGGTAGGTAGGTCTTAAACGGTTTAGGTTTTAGGGTTTAGGGTTTAGGGTTTAGGGTTTAGGGTTTAGGGTTTAGGGTTTAGGGTTTAGGGTAACTAGTGTCATAATTAAGTTAAGAATGATAGCCACAATTAAGGCACTTACCACTCCGAATATATTACAGCTGCGCCCTTACTTCGCACCGTCGTAGGGTTGACGACGGGGTTTCAGTTTTGGCTTTTCGACTCGGGATGAAGTGTTTTGATCGAAACACCGTGCCTTCTCCCCGATGTGCCTTCGGCCCCTGCTTCATATCTACACACACATGGGTAGTTCTCTACCCGCTGTCGGTCCAAAGAATAGTACGGCACCCTGATAAGCAGGACCGTAAAAGGGACTAAGTTAAACTAGAGAACTATCCACATGAAGAGATATGAAGTGGGGGGTGTTGGGTGAGGCTATAAGGCATCAAGATGAGGACCACGACTTGCCCACAGCCTCGGAATCCTACGCCGTCCTCTGCTCCCTCGCCCCAACCCCTGTACCGGTGGGTTGGGCCGGATAGCCTGCGGTATGTTTTGAGTTCTTCTGAATCCTATCGGGGTTTCTGGGACCGGGAGCCGTATGAGGTGTACGTCCTTTCTTAGGGTTCCTACGAAACTATGTACACCTATACTACGGCACAAACCCGCAACCCTATTCAAGTCATTAAGAACACCCAGTTTGCAACATGCCCAAGGAAGACCTCCATGCAGAACTTCGATGCAGTCTTCTGCGCAGCTGCGGCCGTGCCAACGAAGGAGCGGAGTGAAGAGGAGTAGAGCCGAATGTCAAAACCCGGGCCTTGACGCTCCTCAGAACCAGCAAAATCGCGGTCTGAATCATCAGCATCAGTTTGATTCACATGGGTAGTTCCCTAAATTAGGGTCCCCGTTTAGGTCCCCAATATAGCACGGCACCCTTATAAAAAAGGACCCCCCAAAGGGACCCTATTTTGGAAAACTACCCATGTGTTCACAGACTGGAGCTTCCAAGCTCTGGCGCTAGCCCAATGTTATTCAGACTTCTGTATGACACGGTGCCAAGAATCGATTCCAACGCAACGCCGACGGAAACTCTATTCCAAGTATACCGTCTCAATTAGAGTCCGCTGACTGTGCCTACTGTGGGGCAGACAACCACCCCTCCAGTGCCTTCAGAACAACCTCCCACAAGACCTCATTAACACCTTTTGCCTTTTTCCCTATTTTTCCTAAACCCTAAACCCTAAACCCTTATGAATCTGTGTTCAGAGTTCAGAGTTTAGGCTTCCGCGCTATTTGGGTTCAGGACAAGACCAGAGGAAGGACTCCGACCAAGTGTACATGGGATTTTTCGTAGGGTGAACGTAGGGTTTAGTGCTGAGGGTGCCCGCCCTAAACCCTAGGCCCTAAACCCCTAAACCCCTAAACCCTAAGCCCTAAGCCCGAAATCCTACACCGTGCAAAAACTAAACCCTAAACCTATGTCGGAGGAATCTGAGCAGATGCTCACCCTGCTCCCATCGCTTCGCCACCAGCGTCTTACCTGCTCCTTTAGAGTTTCGGGTTTAGGGTCAAGGCGCGAAAGCTGCCCTATATCCTAGGCCCTAATGTAGAAGCCTAGATAATTACAAAAAATGGTCCCCAGGGCTCCCTATTATAAGTAGCCCCAAACCCGAGTCTAATTATAAAGGCCCCTGACCCTAAACCCTAAGCCCTACAGTCCCTAAACCCTAAACCCTAAACCCTAAACCCTAAACCCTAAACCCTAAACCGTAAACCGTCTAAACCCTGAACCCTGGAACTGGGCTCTGGAGTATGCAACGCTTGCGCTGGTTCGTTTTGGACCTGGTTTCCTTGGCGGCTTTAGGGTTTAGGGACTTTTGGGTTTAGGATTTAAGGACTTTAGGGTTTAGGGACTTTAGGGACTTTAGGGTTTAGGGGCTTTACGGTTTAGGGTTTAGGGACTTTGGGGTTTAGGGACTTTAGGGTTTAGGGTTTAGGGACATTATGGACTTTAGGAACTGTCTTGCAGTGCAGGCAAGGAAGGGCAACGGTTTTTTTCTCGTTTGCCGCCTCTGATTTTAGGTTCTCATTTGTAGTGATGGCTTAAAGGTTTAGGGGTTTGGGGTAAGGGGTTTGGGGTTAAGGGTTTAGGGTTTGGGTTTGGGGTTAAGGGTTTAGGGTTTGGGTTTAGGGGTTTAGGGTTTAGGGGTTTAGGGTTTAGGGTTTAGGGTTCAAGGGTTTAGGGTTTGTCGCTGATGATACGGAGAATAACCAATGCTACCATGAATACGAGGAAGAGAACAAGAGTGAGACCCTAAACCGAAACCCTAAAACCCTAAACCCTAAACCTCTTAAGGAACCCGCTATAATAAGACTTTGTGTATCGTTTTCTGTGTCTTGAACTTGGCTTTCTGCTGGAGAACCAACATGATCCCTAAAACCTAAACCCTTTTACCCTAAAACCCTAAAGCCCTAAACCCTAAACCCCTAACCCCTAAACCCGAAACCCTAAACCCTAAACCCTAAAACCTAAACTCTAAAACCCTAAAACCCTAAACCCTTAACCCCTTTAAGGAGCCACTTATATCGTTGTCCGGAGAACCAAGGTGCTGCCTCGTCTCCAGCACTCTGACTGCCCTGTTGGCCGTCTTGACCTCAGCAGAAGGGTCATGGAGGGGCCTTGATCATTTGAGAGGGTTCCTTTAAAAGGGTTCCTTGAAGGGGTCTATAAGGGCTACTCTAAGGGTTTAGAATTTTGGTATGATCAACCCCAAAACCCTATCAGATTACCAAGGCCCCTAAACCCTAACCAGGAACCACCAAAATAGTGTAGGTAACTACCCTAAACCCTAAACCCTAAACCCTAAACCCTAAACCCTAAATAGAAGGTTTAGGGCTCATAGGGTTCAGGGCGCAGAGGATCTAGGGTCCAGGGTCTAGTCCAGGGTGAGGGGATTCGGGTCCAGGCTGGGGATGAGGGTTTTGGGTTTGGGGGTTCGGGGTCTGGGGCTTGGGGATTAGGGTCCGGGGGGTCTCGGGATTAGGGTCCGGGAGGTCTGGGGATTAGGGTCCAGGATTTGGGGGTTTGAGGATAAGGGTCCGGGGGGTCTGGGGATTAGGGTCCGGGAAGTTTTGGGTTTACGGTGTTTAGGGAACGAAGCAAAGGCAGCAAAGTGGCTTTTGGGCTTGCAGGTCGAAGGTTCAAGGCCGAGGATCAAACCCGAAACCCTCACCCTAAGCCTATGAATCCTAAGCCCTAAACCCCTAAACCCTATAAGCCCTAAGCCCTAAATCCCTAAACCCTAAACCGCCTATAAGCCTATGCTCCAGGGAGCTTAGAGCTTATGCCTTAAACCTTAAACTCTGAAAGCTTAGGCTTTTAGGGCTCCAGGTTTAAAGTTTACGGTTAGGCTTTAGGATTAGGGTTTAGGGCTTCGGGGTTTCAGCGGCCCAACATCCCCGAACATCCCCTGACCCGTTCGGATCCTGCTGCAGCTAGAATAGGGGCTCAAAGAATTCGACTAGGATTTTGGGGGTATACTCCAGTAGAGTTATATCGGCGCTGCAAGGGTTTTTCGGCACTACTTATCCCGTTCTCCACACACGAAGCCCCGAGAATTTGTATTTTTGTGTCGAAGGCAGACTTCTACGCCAGCGGCCAAGCCCTGTGCCCTCGGTTCAGTGAACACCGAGCGGCAAACCCTCTAGACTCTTGAGTAGTTTGGGCAGTTCTCCAAATTAGGGTCCCTTTTGAGGTTTCTTAAAGGCATTTGGAAGGGTTTCTATAATATTTCTATAAAAGTTTTTTTTGGGTAGTATGATACTGTTCCTTCGGCGCTATATCAACCCCTTTCAAAGCCTGAAAAAGTTTCATTTCATAAAGCCTCAAGCTAACTTAGCCTATACCCCTCCAATCTATAAAGGCCCAACAGCCTTCAACGTCGAGATGCCGTGGCAGGTGAAGACCCCGGACGAGGTGAAACCGGTGGTCGATGTCCTGATGGAGAAGCGGGAGGCCCTAAACCCTAAACCGAGGTCTGCGGGGATGTCGGGGTTTGGGATTTGGGGTTTAGTTGTAGGGTTTAGGTTGTAGGGTTTAGGATTTAGGGTTTAGGGTTTAGGTTGTAGGGTTCAGGTTTTAGGGCGTAGGATTTAGGGTTTAGGGGTTTAGGGTTTAGGGTTTAGGGCAACCCTGAACCCTAAACCGTGTAGCCAAGGCCCTAGTCCTTGAAAGCCCAATCCCAATACTTCCAGCTCGACGTTTCATGCAGCAAGGGAAGCATGCCCCACAGACTAGGGTCTTTAAGAACTATGAGGAACTGAAGCTGGTAATATAGGGGCCTGGATCTGTTCATAGTAATCATATCGAACCCAAGTATACTAGTTCAGGCCCCCTATATATTGCGGAACTCACCACCATGGATTCGAGACACTCCTGCGGCGCAGGCCCTGCAGCAACAGCTGGCGGTGGAATTCTCGAAGGGCCAGCAGTCCGATCAGCCACTTGCATTCGGGTTTAGGGTTTAGGGTTTAGGGTTTAGGGTGTAGGGTTTAGGGTTTAGGGTTTAGGGTTTAGGGACCAGGTAGCCCGATACCCCTCCAAGAATAACCGTACTTACTTCAAGACAGGGCTTGTTGAGGGTTGAACGGGATTCTATCAACCCTCTAAAACAAGGAATATGCCTGAAGCGACCTCAGAAAAGGGTTGTAACAGTTGTAACATGGTTTTACAGAGATGATCTATGTTTTAAATTCAAGAATGGGTTCGGGAGCTGTTGTTCCAGTTTGAGGAACATTCCGAGTAACATGTCCTAACTAGGGGATTTGGACATGAAGAGTTTTAGAGGGTTTTCTCGCAGGATGTTATGTGTCAAGGTTCGGGGCTTAGGTGTTTGTGTTTAGGACTTTAGGCTGGGTTCCAGGTTGATTGTTTCGGGGTGTGACGTTCCATGTTTAGGTTTACGGTGTGGGGCTTTAGGATTCTTGAGCTTCTGGGGTGCTTGTAGGGCTTGGAGTTTCAGGTAGCTCGTTGAAGAGCAGCCGATGGTAGTCCTGACCATAGGAGGGAGGACGTACCCACCTGTCTTTTGGTAGGGTTTAGGGTTTAGGGTTTAGGGTTTAGGGTTTAGGGTTTAGGGTTTAGGGTTTAGGGTCACAGCCTAATCCTATCAGGTTTGTCTTATATAGGCTTCAAGGTTCGGGGTTTACCTATAACTCTTGGGATGTGAGCTCTCGGATCGGCCATGCCGGCATGACTGAGCTCGACTGTGTGTCCTTTTTAGGCGTCGAGGTCTCCATTGCCCCGGAAATTCCAAGCCCAGATCCCCAAACCCTAAACCCCTAAAGGGTTTAGGGTTTAGGGTTTAGTACGAAGATTACAG